AAAATAGAAAAAGGAAAAGGCACAAGAAAAGGAAAAAGGGAAATAAACTAAAGTTAATAATTATACTAATTACTTCCAACCTTCCTCTCAACAGATATTAGCAAACCCTTTGTCTCCCTTCCCTCTTGACTATTATTCCAGAAATACTGTACCTTCAATCCATAATTTAATTCTCATCTTTTCAACCTTCAAATCCATAAATTATCATTTCACTTTGTTTTCTTTTAGTAAAAAGTCCATAAATGGTTTCCATCTCTTTTTAAATGCACTTGTCTTTTTCTCCTTGACAAAGAGGTTAAAATTACAGCATTTTTACAATTCATTCCTCCATTGCGGGAATTTCAGTATGGGATAGGATACTGGGGGTTCCCAGGGGTTCAGGAGAACCTCTAGCTAAGATACTGTGCAGTTTGGAGAACCCCCAAATCCCATTCCTGGCTGGCCCTGCCCACCCTACCTCTCCCCTCCCAGGAGTCCCCACTTGGCCCGTTTTGGATGCAGCTAAGTGCAGGTCACACGTGGAGCCAGGAGAGGGCAAAAACACCCCCTCTGCCATGGTGCAGGAGGTCGACTAGGCCACACCCACCATGGCCACGTCCAACCAGCAACCGGGCAGAGAACCCCTTGCTAAAAAATTTGAAGTCCACCCCTGCTCTTGGCGCATATAATAATCTTGTGAGTGACCACCTTTTTACTAATATATTGGCTGCCATGACTCTGAATCCAAGCTGTGTCACAGTGCAAGGTAAATCTATGAATGTTGCATTCCTGACTGGAATTGCTTCTCTACACAATATCATCTCTCAAGTTAGTTTCTGTGCTGGTCTGAAGAAAAGCTGCAGTACACAGTGAGGTGCTCCCTTAATTCTAAATAGCATTCGAAGGGGGAGCAAAAAAGATATAAAATTGCTGATTTAAAAAAAAAATGCAATCTCTGTGGAGATTTCACAGCAAGACGCTCCTTCCTCAGAAAAGGTGACAGATTCTGACCTCAGATCAAGAGGATAAACTTATGTATGATGTCTTTGGAATGCCCTTATGTGTCTGTCTTTTTGTGTGTGAATGGGGAGAAAGAGAATTTCTACCGTATATATATATCCTCTTATTGATGAACTCTTACTAAGGTCCTTTTCTCATTAATCCTGAGCATAAATGCCTGCTAGTGAAATACATATATTTAGCGAAACAAAATTCTAGGTTCTTTAAAAAGCCAATGTCATATATAACTTGTCAATTTAATTCAAATATGCATAATTAATTAACAATGAAATATCTGCATATGGAATATTTATTTCAGAAAATTTACTAGTGGAGATAAACTGGCTTTCAAGAGTTCTAATTTCTGTTCACAGCTCTGTGGGCAGTCTAGCCCAATATTGTTTCCAAATGAACAAGTCACAATGCTATCAATCAAAAGATTATGAAGCTAGTCATATGTAGCAGAAAAATGATTGAAAAAGCCCTGGGAAAATGCAGGAACACCATTGGGAGACACGATCTGAACTGGAAACTCCTGCAGGCACTGTTCATATGTCTTTCTCCCATTTGATCAGATGAACCCACGATACCAGATGTAGTACTAGAAAGTCAGAATGTTTAGGAGTACCATGTGTTTAAGCCATGTGCTTCCAGATTCCCGTCCAAATTAGGGCAGTCAAAATTAAAGATTAAATTGGTAGTAAAATGACAGGAAATATACTTTTGGTTTATTTTATTTTTCATGCCAACTGCTGTGAGAGATATGCTTCTGCATAGATTTATGCCTTCCCTTTAAGTCATGTTCTACCCTTATCTCTAAAGACACATAATCAACATACTGTTAAATGGGGACTTAATTGGCATTTCTATCCATGGCCAAGTAACATACAACCCTCTCCTTTAGTTTTTGTTAACTATTCTTCATTAACACATCCAACTTTGTCAATATTTTCTCTTCTACAGATAATCCTCAACTTGTGACCAAATAAATCCCAATAAATCCCAAAATTTGTGTTGTTAAGTGAGACATTTTTGAAATGAGTTTTGCCTCATTTTACGAACTTTCTTGCCACAACTGTTAAGTGAATAACTGTAGTCGACAAGCTAGTAACCCGATTGTTAAGAGAATCTGGCTTCCACATTGACTTTGCTTGTCAGAAGGTCGCAAAAGGTGATCACACGACCTTGGGACACAGCAATGGTCATAAATATGAACCCGTTTCCAAGCATCTGAATTTTGATGATATGATCATGGGGATGCTGCAAAGGTCATAACTGTGAAAGACAGTCATAAGTCCCTTTTTTCAGTGCCATTGCAAGTTTGAACAATCACTAAATGAACAGTTGTAACTCGAAGACTACCTCTATTCTGAGATGCTGATGCCTTTCAGATAATCACCACCAGTGGTGGGTTCCGGATCCCGGTGCAACNCTTCCTCCCATATTTGGGCATACCGGGGGTTGTAACACTTAATGCATACATACATACATACATACATACATACATACATACATACATACATACATACATACAATAAATATAGAGTTGAATTATAATGTAATTGTGGACTCAAGGCAAATTAGCCACTAGTTTTTTCAGCCACTAGACCACTCCTGAGACTTTTTCCAGATAATATGTAACGTGTGCATGTATTTAACACATGAATTCATTCTTATGGACTGTTTAATATTACAACTTACAGGAAAGTTTCACACATTATGCCTGACCTAGTTTGACCGTGCATGTAATTGTGCATGTGTATATATGTGTGTGCGCATGTGTGTGGCCATAACTTCTAGTGTATATATGCAGTAAAATATCTACATAAATTATTGTCGCACGTATAATACAACTCTATATGATTTTACATTGTAAACTGGACGTATGAGTGAACACCAACTTAATGTGCGACACTAAACTATGTGCACTTGTAATTTGGACCCTTGAGGAAAAACTACCTCATTTTCATTTCTATCGATTGGTCATTTTCATTTCTATAGATTTATATCATGACCGGTATGTTATTAGTGCAAAGAACTTGTCCTGTTTTTAAACAGTCATAACAATATGGTTCGGGGGAAATCTCCCGACCAGAAAGAATGTTACTAAGGGGTTTTTTTTAACCATCTGAAATAAAACCTTTTCTCCAAATGATGGAACAAGAGAAATATCTAATATCTTTTTTGTTTGTTTGTTTTTAATGAGTAGGTTCTTCTAGATTCATGATGAAAATGTCAAAGGGACCTTTTGATGAATCTAACTACATCTGTTCCTTTGGAATGAAGTTAACCTGGGACATCAATGACCCCAAGCTACCGCAGGTACAGGGCAGAGGGAGGTTTGTAAAGAAGGCATGGAGTCAGTAAATTGGCTTTGTCAATTAATTTTGCAAAGTCCTTTCTGCCCAGTGAAATACCCCGTGCCTCTCAACTGTAGTAAACTTTCTCCAGAGGCAGGAGAAGCAGGATAGAATTTGGCAACAAAGGTATGCTGGTGAGCCTAGGACTCTTGCCGATTCCCTGAGCTGTTCCTACATTTTCTTTAGTCCGCATTTCTTTAACCTAGGAGATGCCCAGGCAGGGAGTTCTCCTCATTAGGAAAACATCTAATCTGCTGAAGAGAGACAGTCACAAAGCCAGAGGAGCTGACAGAGCCTCTGTTGATTGACAGGCTCACAAATCAGGTCCTAACATTTGGTGGTGTTTTTGGACAGACGCAACAAAGGCAGACCAAAGATTAGAAATAAGGACAGCGAAGTTATGTACTCTCGGCATCTCCCTGTTGTATCTTATTGTTTTTCACTCATTTAAGGGGGGGAGAATGGCGAGTGCCTCAACTCAATATCAGAGGAGTTTCTAAAGAGGAATGGCATAGAAGAGGCTTTTGAATGCGGTCAGCACCACACTAAAGCATGGAACCCAGCCACTATATTTGTTAGGAATGCATTGTGATTAGGATTCTGCAATATATAAGGCTAAGCAAAAAATAGGATTGAATATGTTTGGGGTGAGAACGTTACTGATACCTGAATCTTATCAGATTCATAGCAGGGTTTAATTTTTTGGACATTCGGTAGCGTGCTATCAATTAAATATAGGAGTCGTGTTTATTAATGAGAGTTAGGTGTTAGCATTTTGTTCAAATGGAATCAGAATATGTAGCAAATTAATATATTGCATGTATTGATGTGCACAAACACAAGGTAGTTTCCATAATTCCCATCCTCCCACTTTTAAAAGGGAGAATTGGCTATTTTCAATCCTGTTCATGCACTAGTCCTGTTGGGTCAGCCTCTCAAGAGACATTTCTTCATCAGATTCCTTAATGCCTTCAACAATGATAGAATGTTTAACTGCAATTGCCTTCACTGGAAAACTTTGGATACATTCAGAGATGCATCAGTCTTGGAAATAGCCCATGTTGAACTGGGTTCCACCACAAAACCGTGCTCGACTAAACCACGTCGCTGACATCATCAACAGGGCGACAACAGCGTGGAGACAGAAGCACGCTGTAAACCCTAACCCTAACCCTAACCCTAACCCTAACCCTAACCCTAACCCTAAC